AATTTTGTTACTTGCAGGACTGAGTACTGGAAATCCAATGAACGCAAGTATTGCGATTTCTGTAAGTGCTGGTTAAGCGACAACAAAGCTGTGAGTAAACATTTCAATAGAATCTGAAACGCTTATGTGTAACAATGGAATTAACTTTTCCAGAGTATTGCTTTTCATGAAAGCGGCAAGCGACACAAGCTAAATGTGTCCAAGCGCATCACTGAAATCAGTCGCAATAGCGAAAAGTCGGAGCGGGAGAAGCAGAAAGTGGACGCACAGATTCGCAAAATGGAAGAAGCGGCCATGAAATCCTATGCGCAGGATATCCATGGCTACCATGGCGATATGACCGCACGTTCCATCAATACAGTGCTCAGTGCAACTGCCTCCAGCAGTGGCAGCAAACTGGGTCCGTATGGCAAGCCCCGACAAATCGATCCAATGCGATTGGAGGGCGATTCCGATGAGGATGAAGATGGTCGACGGGTTAATGTGGATAAAGTTGCGGCTGAAACGGTGCCAGATGCATCCCTGTGGGTGGAAGGCAAATCGGATGAAGGCTACACGTACTATTGGAATGTGAAGACAAACGAATCTGTCTGGGAGCCACCAAAAGAGGGGTTTCTTTCCTATGCCGAATACGAACGCATCAATCAATTAGCCATGGATCAACAGGCGGTGACGCAGGCGGAGGAAGCGCTACGTTTTCGTGCCAATGCAGATGAGGAGGTGGCGCGTTTCAATCGTGAGCGGCATGCGAAACTTTATCGCAAACCAGAGAATCCCAAGGAAAAGAATCAGAAGGAGGAGAAGAGACAGCAGTTTAAAACTGAAGAGGAAGCTGCTACCAAGGAAATTGGACAATGGCAGGTGGTGGAGACTAGGTACGTGTATTGTTAGTACACTTGTAAAAATCTATGTTTTAACTATAACTATTTGCAGACCACCTGAAGAGCCCATCGATTGGCAGTTACCGAAAACGGACTACTATGCGGTAGAGCCTGTTGCAGCAGCGACGACAGAGCCCGAGCCGCCTGTAAAACGCTTCAAGGAGAAAACCATATCAGGATTGGATGAGGAGACGGCCAGCAGTGCGCCCGCCACATTCAAAAAACGGAAATTTGCAAATAAAGGAAATGTGCGCAAACCATTAGCTGATTAGGAACAGTACCTGTAGCTTATAATTTAATAAATTCTTTTAATTATCGTTTAAAAAAATATGCAATTGAAATTTTATTTGTGACTCGTAACATTTATATTGAGAGCACGAATTTGAATTGCAGCGCTGCCAACTGAACTTTTGGTATTTATAGCGCCTGGTCAGCCTAATAGTATTTTGAGGCTAACCCAGCTACGGTCACGCTGGCATAGTCAGTTCATTTTTCAAGTTGGCGACGTTTGGTTGTGTCGTGTGAATCGTCGGACGGGCGTCTCTTGCAGTTTGTTATTAAAAATTTGTTGTGCGCTTAATTCTGTTAATAACAACACTAATAACAGCAACAACAAATACGAAGACGAAGGCGCAGCGTGTGTGATTCATTGTATATTGTGGGTAATTGAGCGCAGCAGAGTGCGCTGCAAGAAGAGTGTAAATAAATTCCATTAATGTAAAAAGAGAAAAAAATGAAAACCAGTGTTTGTTGAGAAAGAGTAAGATAGAGAGCAAAGAGTGCAGTGCCAAAGTTAAACGTAAACAATAATAAATAAATGAATAAATATATTTGCTAGCTGCCTGATAAATTTGAGCGCACAGAAATACTCAGGCACGCACCAATACAGACACACACACATATATATATATACATTCATTTTTGGTAATTGTGTGCGCGTCGGCAGCGGTGGCAGCGGCAGTGGCGGCAGCGTTTGTTGTTCTCCTTTGTGATTTGCAGCTGAAGAAAGGTCAAGCGTTGCGTAAAGCGGTTGCACAAACATACGCTCACAGACACACACATAGACGCGCGCGTGTGTAACTGTTGTTTGGGACTCGATCGTGTTAGCGGTAAATCAGGCAAAATTCAGTTCGTTTACGTTTACAACAGCAGCGCTCCACACGCGGCCGACATCTATCAGCCCCATACGCGTTATAGCGGGAGCAACGCTAACGATTCGGACACAGAGTGGCTGGAGACGGAAGCAGGAAGCAAAGCAAAAGACGACAGCAACAGCGACAGCAGCAACAACAACGAAAGCAACAACAAAAACAACAGCAGCAGCAACAACAATAGCAATAGCAGCTACAACATGGCAGTGCGCAAAAAACAGGACGACAAATACCTGCTAGCGCTGCGGGAGCTGGTTAACAGCGGGGCAGGCAATCGCCAGTGCTTCGATTGCAACCAAAAGGGGCCCACCTACGTGAACATGACCATCGGCTCGTTTGTCTGCACACGCTGTTCGGGTGTACTGTAAGTAGTAAAAACTACCTGTTCTCCATTTACACCATACACAAAACTACGCACACACACACACACACACACACACACGTGCAAATACATTCATATGCCTATGCATGTGCCACTCGTTACTTGCAATTTCTGAATCGTTACTTTTTGGCCATTAGCCGTTACTTGTGTTGGTTAATGCCATGAATGCCAGCTCCTAATTAAGTTAACATTTCATGTTATAAAGTTTAACAGCTGAAAGTCAATGTAAAATTAAAGTAATACTAGTCGTTACTCGCTAATCGCTCTTAAGTAATAATTACTGATTTACTCCTCAAAGTTGTTACTGTAATTAGTAAAAATTACCTGTTCTCCATTCAGTTAAGGTAAAACTATGGTAAATAGCGGTATTCGCTGCACCCTCTAATGAATTGTTAGTAAACAATCGATATTCTTAAGAGCTGTTGCTTATCTAATTACCAATCTAACGTGCGTTACTTTTTTATGCTTTCCTGTTTTTCGTTACTCGTTAGATATTTTTCCTGATACTTAAGGTATAATTGACTGCATCAAAGTATCCATCTATTACGTACCCCTATGCACCTTCCTCACAACAACTCACCCGGCAGATAAGCTACAATCTGTGGTGGTCTCAAGTGATTGACCGATAATTTGGTTCGAATGCATTGACCTACCCGCGACAACAACAGCAATACCGCTCCTCACCGATTAGACCTGCCTGCAACACAGGAGAGTAAGAGGGAAATTGGGGGTAAGCGGGGGTGTGTGTGTGTGTGGCGCTCAGCGAAAGCGAAAGCAATTTCGTTTCACCAGTTTGAGTCAGGCCACCAATTTGGAAATGCAAATCGCAGACAAACTTTCAATTGACGTCGAACTCTGCCGTTGGTGCTGGCAGAGCCACTTGGTCTGAAAACAAATGAAATTATTTTGGCATTGGCGTTTCTAATTTGGACAGCCACGAATAAGAAGAAGATGTCTGGGTGCATACTACGTGCTTATGCTATTGAAAATGGTTTGGAATAGGATATATTGTAGTGTATAATATATGCAGACAAATATTGTAATATTAATAGGTAATACCAATTCATGAACTAATAATGTATAATTCTTAAATGTAAAATGAATTAGTTCATTCATCAGCTCTTGGTTGTAGAAACCTTCTTCGTTTAATACACACGGAAATGATAAGAGTTGTAGTCGTTAATACGTATCAAATTACAGTTATTTGGTTTATAGTACACTATTTCATTTATCAAATTGAACAACTCGAAGCTCGTCTCATTATCAAAATCTCCTTTAATATACGCGGAAATAATAGAGCTTATACACGGATAGGGTACTCAGTAGTCGGCAATCCGTAGCGAATTGCATCTATTTTGTTTTTCGCTTTACTTTTGTGGTCCTTGGCTCTAAACGCCAAATAATTGGCAAATTGGCTGCGATTTATGCGCTTTGCTGCACTATGCTCAAGCACTTTGTGCGATTAAATGCCAATTGAGGTCATCTCCTGGCACATTTGCTGCCTGACTGGCTGCCACCCTGCCTCCCTGCCGCCCTGTATGCCTGCCTGATTAGTGGGTGGGGAGTTGTTGCCCACTTTTCGTGTGCTGTGTTTGTTTTTCCACTTGATTTACGCACTTCCGCTCTCACGCCCACCACATATGCACTCTCCAGCTACCTAGCTCTCTCTCTCTCTCTCTCGCTCCAAGTATCGTTTTCATTATTTGATTATTTTCAATCTGCCTGCTTCCGCACCGAGCACCGGGCGAATGGGTCCAGCTGATGCACATTCCATACGCAGATTGCGCCCCAGTTTCTCCACTGCGTAACTAGTTGTGTTTGTTGTTGTTGTTGCATGCGGGCGCCCGCTGCGTTCTGCTCGCTCTCATTTGCCTATCGATCAACGATAACATTTACACGCTCTTCTTTTTTTTGCAACCAAAGTAAATGACACTTTACAACAGTATTTTTAAAATACTGTCAGGGGTATGTTAGCTTTTTATCCAAATATGTACATATGTGTGTAGAGATTTTTAGCTTATTATTATAATATACCCTTCATTTATTGGTATATATTATTCTGCATAAATTAATACTAAATAATATCTAAATCTGGTATATTATGTATATATTATCTATGTATATATTCTGCGAATGCCTTTTAGGGCATTCATTCTTCGTTACATTACAAATTTAGCTGCTCATTCTTGTTTTGCATGCGACCAAAGTCTGTGGCACTTTCCTTCGGTATTTTTGTTGTTGTTTTTATTTCTCTGGCATTCATGACAAGTCGTCGCAGCATATGTAAATTATATTGAATGCAGCTTTTAAAAAAAAGCTAAAGCTGGCGTTGCATTGGCCAATGCTCCCCAGCAGCGTTTTGCATGACTCACTCGAGTGCCCGCTCTTCCACACTTCCGTCTCCTCCTCCTCCTCCTCCTCCTTTAAGTTGCAGGCGAAATAAATAAGTATTACGACTATGTAAATGGAAAGCCGCATAAATGCCTCATGGCTGGCCCTTTTGGCATGACAAACAGGCGGACAGACGGACAGCCAGACAGACGAACAGCAGCGACACAACGAACTCCACTTAACTGCACTGTAACCCTTCCAACATTCCTTACCCCGTTCGCGCCCCATTCGTCCCTTTGTCTGCAGCAAACAAAAGGAACTCAAAGTCCAATACGAAATTGTTGTGCATGTTCAATGCTACAATGTTTCCTGTCTCGTCTGGCAACAGTTCACCTCGTTCAGTTCAGCGCCCACCTCTTCGCATTTACGCCTGTTCTCCTGTTCGCCCGTTTCGCCTCATTCTGTGGCAGGAACGGCTGCCATTCAGTCGCATTTTAGCTATGGCTTTCAGCTTCGTGCCGCATACCGGCCGGCCCGCTCGACATGGCTGCAATGGCGAAAAACCTGTCAAACGGCTTTTGAAAGTATTTTTGGGCCAGTTGCTGCGGTTGCTGCTGCTGCTGCTGCTGCTGCTGCTGTTGATGCCGCTGTGGCACTGGCAATTGCAGACAAATTGTTGCACCTCAATCGCGCAGCAGTCGCTACCATCTGGTGGGCAGCAGCAGAAACGGCAACGGCAGCATTTGGCTGGCAAAGCAACTTGTTGATTAGATAAGCCATGCAAGCATATGCGCACACAGCCAAAGCGTCCAATGCTGGCAGTTCCGCTATTATTTTAACGTCCAAACTAGCTGCACTTTAAACTAAATTTGTACAAATTGCTCGATACGGCAGTTCCAGTTAATACAATTTTATAAAAAATGTCCGCAAGTGCTATCATTTAATTTTAGATTTGCTTTGCTCACACTTGATTTCAAAAATGTAGCACACAGCGTTGACCATGTTGAGGATTATAAATAAATAAAAGAAGCAAAATCTCATTAGCTATTTTTGCTCTTCTCATTTACTTTTTATGAGATTTAGTTGGCTCTTTTTTCTTCTTATTTGTCATTTTGTATAATATAACAAGCTAAGAGAAGAAAATAATGTAAAATATTCTATATATAGTAGAAATGCTTAAAAAAAGACCCAAACTTTTTAGCTATTTTCCCTTTTGTTTTCTGTTTCAATTAAGCTTTGCGCGTTTTCCTCTTGGTACTAAGTTTTTCTGCTCAAAAAGTGGCAGCACTGGCTCTCCAGCAAGTCAAACGCAGCAGTCGCCTCTTTTCAAGTCGTACTTCCTCTCTCCGCTCCCCCTCTCTCCTGGTTTGTTTCCAGTCGAACTTCGCCTTGCCCTCTTCGACCGCGCTGAGCTACTTTCTCAGTTGTGTCTGTCGCGCAGACATGAGTAACTGTAACGGCAACTGCCCACCAGCTGACAAATAGTTAAATATAGGGGAATTATAGAGACACATGTATACACACACACACACACATACATATACACATGTAGAAAGATAGATACATCGCGTAATACACACTAACGTAGCTACATTCGTATACACGTTATAATCAGCTGCACGTCTTGTGGTCAAATTGTAGATATGTAAATTTGTCGATGGTTATGAAACAACATAAACACGTCCCAGCTGTATGGCTGTAAAGGTCGTTGGTGCCGAACGGTGAGGTGGCGGTGGTTGGGGAGGTACGGGCGCGTTGGCTTGCTCAGCTGCCGGGGCAGACTTTCACCAAATGCTGTCAGCTGTGTGGGCCCTTTTTAAGGGGTTTTCTTTCGCTACCCAAAAACCAAAACAACAAAACGACAAACAACGAATTGAAAAGAAAAAAACAAAAATGAAAGAGCAAAGAAACAAAAACAAAAAAATCAACGAAAACACGACGCGTAATGGCAATTAAATACTTATGTACATATGTTTGTCTCTATTAGAGATGGCAGAATATCGTGCTTGGTTGCGTGACACAAATAGAATTGCCTCCACTTTGTACAGTTGAATGGAAGAGGGGCTACTTTATTCATTAGTCAATAATAATAATAATAATAAATAGTACCTAAAATAATGTTTAATATAAATAAATATAAATTAATGCATGTGCCTGTTCCCACTTAGCATAGTTGAATGGAATACTTTTGCTTGCGATCGTGTTGTGAATGAATAAATAGTTTCACGTGCTCTTCTCTAGTCCACAGATAGAAATGTACATACATACATATGCGATTGTGTGTATATACTTATACGTACATATATAGTGAATAGACAAATATACATAAATCTAAGTATATATGTATGTATGTATAAAGACAAATATGTACATATACCTAAAATACATATATGTATGTATGTAAATCTATTTGTGTGCCCCATTCGCAGCTATTTTTACACAAATAAACACTTTTGGCGTCTCAATTTGTTAAAGCTTTTCCGCATTTGTCAGGCTCTTATTGTCAGAATCCAGTCTGGCTGATAATTCAGTTACCTGGCAATGCACACACCAATTTATGTACATATGTATATAAATATATATGTATGTGTATATTTGTACCAGTTTGATTAGCATTTGGAAAATGTGAATCGCATAACGAGTAGAATTTAGCAAGCAAAAACAAACAGAACTCTTCCCATCCATTACCAATCGTTCTCTCTCACTCTCTCTCTCTTTTTTGCACTCTCT